TCACTTGAGCATCGTTACTCGACAATAAAACGCAAATAATAGCCTCTGCTAGATTAGCATGTAACAAAAGTGACACTACTAAACAAGCACTTCTTGCATAAACTGCATAACAGGAATTAAAGATAAGCAAATGTTAACAAAGTGAAAAAAAGTGGAAACTTTAAGAAGTTAATGTGTCAAGTAAATTACAATGAACATGCACATTGTGCAAACAAGTCTACCTGCTCCATAAGCTTAAATGTCTGGGAATAGCAGTCTGAATTGAAACCCCGAGACGGCAAACATGCCAGTCCCTGAGACAAGCACCAAACAGTTAACACTTCGGCAATGTTACAGAGTGCAGAAAGCCGGCCCGTCATAACTAGCAGTGATGGACAGTTAAAAAGTTACTCAGACACTTGGTAAACCAAAATTTGTGCCTGGCTAACAGCCAGTGGCACAGTAATGGCTTCATTCCTAACTGACCACACGACGATGACAGAACGCATTAGCTGCTTCCGGTGTCTCGAAACTATGAATGGTCTCTGTGGCTTCCCTTGCACAGGCTTTGGGCTGAGGGAGCAGTGCGCTCTCTCGAGCTCTGGGTTTGTCAAGCATGTTTGCTCCCATTACCTCCTTTGGCTTTTCTTTACTTTCCTCAGAGACGTTCGCAATGCACAGATTTGCTCTGCGAGATGTTTTCAAGATCATCAAGATGGTTAAGTAGGAATGTGTTTTGAGCCTGTAGAAATTTGATGGCTGATTCTGTGATGGTAAACTGTTCAAAGTTTTGCAGGCAAGGAAGGTGCTGACCACCTCTTGTACACATCTACTGATGTTTGCAAAGACTTCAAGGAGTTCTAAATAAGAATGGTCAGGTCTTCTAAAAGGCCAGTTCATTACTTAGCTAGTTCTGAAACCAGCTGACTCATATAGGCTTTTTTTTTTAAATATAGCATAAGAAGTGTAGTCAGGGGAAAAAAAGAATTTTGTCTCTATGATATATGGTCCAGGAGATATGGAGCAAAATGTTTAACGCTTTGCTATAGCACCACCATCAGACTGAAGAGAGAGGGTTCAGTCCCTGACTGGCGTCTGGCAGCAGGAAGTGGCAACTCCGCTGTCCGGAAATGGCACATACTGGAATTTGGCACTTAGCAAATGGCACCAGCTGTTAATAACTCGTAGAAAATGGCAAGTTGCCACTCATGCCACTTGGGTAGTGGCACTATGCCGACCTGAAGACTTTGTACAGATAATGGTTCACTGGCTGTGCTGTTGGGTGGACGATTCTAAGCGAAATGAGCCACTTCAGCCAAAGGCTAACATATGCGACTATAGCTGTAAGGCTAGCTCGAAAACAGACTCTTTGCGGGCTTTTGTTGTTGAACAGAGAGTTAAAGAAACAGAATTTGTGATGTGTTATTCATGCTAAATCTAAACGCTGTAAAGACAATTTATCAGCGTCTTTTTTAAGCAACACACAAGAAATGCAGGCTTGTGATCTTGTTTCTGTTTATTGATTTGTATAATTTGCGATGATTCTTCATTAGCATCTGCAACGGATAGCCAGCGGCACCTGCCACTCAGGAGTGGCACTAACCAAACACCAGCGGCACCAACTATCGGCAACTGCCGCTCAGGAGTGACACTGGCCACACTGAGAGTGCATAATCAATATACTCTCAGCGTGGCTAATGAAAACTTTGCTCCTCAATGGTCTGTGTGTGTGAAAGCTAGTCAGAGCTGCAGATAGAGATCACTTAAACAGTGGGTGCCACTTATAATCAGAAAGGTGGTATGAGAACTTTGCATTGTTCACTGTTGATTATAGAAATGAATAAATAAAACAAGATCACAAGCCTGCATTTCTCGTGTTGTTTAATAAAGACACTGATAAATGTTTTTTACAATATATAGATTTAGCAAAACACGACAAATAATTCAGTAATTAGTTTGAGCACGTCTGTAACACAAACTGTTTTCTTTAATCCTCTGTGCCACAACAAAAGTCCGCAAAGAGTCCGAATTCAAGCTAACCTTACAGCTATGGCTAAAGCGGCTCATTCCACTCTGATAACAAAATGATAGACTATCTGTACAAAGACTAAGTCAACATTCCACCATAACTTTTCCCAGGTTCTAATGACCAATGGTGCTGCTAGTTAGCCTAGCTGAGTAGCCGCTGTCTAAAGCCACTGCTTTACTGACAGGAGCTGTTGGTACGTGCCTGTACTGAGAAGCACGCACCATTTCCGAGCAGCAGGTGCCACCTATGAGTGCCACTAATCGAGCAACATGAGCGGCAAGTGCCACTCGTTACCAGTTATTAACGGCAGGTGCCATTCGCAAAGTGGCATGTGCCACTATGTGCCATTTCCAGATGGTGGAGTTGCCACTTCCTGCTGCCAGTTGCCAATCAGGGACTAAACCCTTGCTGAGGCTGAACTCATGCACCTGAGTAGCGGGAGGGCCTACTACCTATTGACCAAGTTTCATGTCTGTACGACTTACAGTTTGGTCTGCATGATTTGTTTTAGTAAAGAAAAAGAAGAAGGATCAGAGGAGTGACAAAAAAATCCTAGCAACAACAAGGTTCTTGCACTTTGTGTTTGGACACCTTATAATAAGAAAAATCAAAAAATCAAAAAAGCAATTACAATAGGGTTCCAACACCTTCTGTGCTTGGAACCCTAAAAAGCAATGCTGTCGCCATTGCCACCAGAGTTAGACAGAATTAAGCTTCAAGTTAGCTGGCAACTAATACTGCATAATGTAGCATAAAGGATGCTAAAAATGTTATCTGTAGTTTAAACTGTAACTTATTACATTGCCAAACAAGCATCGTCAACAATACACAAATTTCGCAAGGTATGAATCTGTATAATTTAGACAGCTCATGGTATTCATTTATTCATTGCTATAAGTTAGAGCATAATTTTGCAGTACATCAGCTAGATGATGTACTGCAAAATACAGTACACACACCCCCCACACACACTACACACCCCCCACACACACTACAACCAAAAAAATTCAATGCTTAGGGATCACCCAGTTCTCTCATGTCTTTTGGTGGTTTGTAAGACTCACTGTTTCTCAGTAAGCCCAGCTAATTAGCAAGCCCTTCCTGAGTTGAACTGCAGGAGCTACAAAAAGGGAAAGACACGTACAGGGCAGGGGTACTCCAGGATCAGGACAGGATCCACAACTCTAAAAAAAACTATTGTTAACCATCGTTAGAAAATCATTTTAGCTCTTAATGTACACTTTCATGACAGCAGAAATTTAACTATAACAAGTAAAAGTTATTAGTACTAGCAAAAATATGAAATGACATGGAAAAATAGAATTTGAACATGTTGAAATTCAACTTTTACAATTTTAGTATGTAAGAATTCAGTTATCACTAATATGAACTCATGGCTTTTCCTGACTGGAATTTAATGGGAGAATTTTTATTGCTATGAACTCAAGTTTAACATGTGGCAATTTAATTTTCACATGCTCACATATAATTCTTACCAATAAAGTCTGAACAAGTTACAAATCATTTTTTACATTTCTTTACTAGTATTAATTTTTTTACTTGTTAATTCATTCTGTTGTAAAAAAAAAAAAAGAAATGAAAGTAAGCAGATTCAAACTAAAACTGCTTGCTATGCAAACCTACAAAGATACTTGAACAAAACGCTGGAGCATTTCGCTTCTCAAAAACCAATCAACAATCCCACACTACAGCACCAGGTACAGGGTACAGGATCAAATAGGTCAGTCATGTTATTTGTTATAATTGCAATAATGTTTCTGTATGTTTTAAGATTTTACAATATTATTTAAATTACACACTCTACTACTTCTCCCCATGGCAGAAACGGGCATCCATAGATTTGAACTCCTGCTGGAATTGTGCAAAATTCCGACACCCCTTCGCATGTATGCGCATGCACAGGGATGCCACAGATTACACTTGCGATTTCTGTGTTAATCTTAAATTTTCCTTCATGGAAAACATAAGAACAGGGCCTAAAGCCAAACAAAGAATGTCACAGTGATAAATTTATTACATTAAACTAAACTAAACTAAACTAAGATGTTAATCATCAGAGCAACACTTGGGGAACTGAATGTCATTATGCCATAAAGATAGGTAGTATGAGAACATTATGACATTCTGGCACAATTAAAAGTATGGTATTAGAAGCAGCAGAATTTAGTAATGCTGTTTTGAAACCAGCCAGAATTACACTCCCAACTCCCAAATTGCACCCCAGAGGAACTACCCTCAACTTCTTCTTTGCACAGTACAATGCACATGTGTTTATGACCTAGGTCAGAAATCACTCTAGACTTGTCCTTGCTAGATATCACCTAGCTAATTAGAGACAACTGAGGACACACTGTTTGTATATGCCATTTCCAAAATATCATTAATAGAGATATTAAAGTTTCACTGTCTAATAATGACGAGAAAGAATAATACTGTCACATTACATCGTCAGTGTGCTTGTGCAAATGTATCAGATTTGGGAACTAAATCTGACAGCTGTATCCTGTGTTCGCAATGTTCTCATAAAACTTGATGACTCAAAGGCTGGTCACCCTAGCGATGCCCCAACGACCAACGTCTTAAATTCGTCGCATTAAATTAAACTCACTGTGAGATTCTTTGTTTGGCTTTAGGTCCTTTTCTGGTGTTTAGTCTTAAGTAATTTAAGATTAACCGTTATTTATACATTCAAACTACAGAAATCGCGAGTTTAATATGTGGGGTCCATGTGCCTGCGTGACACGCGCATTCTGAAAGGGAGTCGGAATTCGACGCAACACCTGTAACAACTGATATAACTGTGCTGGATGGTATAACGACACAGTCCTAATTTGGCCAACAACAGAAGATCGCACAGCATTCCGAATTCTGAATACATTAACTCAACAGCTTATAAGATTTAGCTTGACTTGCTATAGCAGTTGTAGCTAAGTAACATTCTGATGACAAAACGTAGTTATATATTACTTACCGCCATTTCATAAACGTCCTCTTTATTTTCCTTTAGCGTGATGCAAATCCTTTCTTTCGTGCATTTATACTTACAAATATTTTAAATCGATATACGACTTGACCTAAAGCCTAAAATATTCTTCGCAGTGAGACGTCTTAAGCAAAAGTAGCACATTAGCAGATAAGTGAAGACAGCAACAATAGCTTGCTCGATGGCCACAGGAAGTGAACATTTTTAAAGTAAAAGACCCTAGGCTAATAGTGGTAGCATAATAATAATAATAATAATAATAATAATAATAACTGCAGAATCTAACAACATTACATAAAGTACTTATTGTAATATATTAAAAAGATGGACAGGATCTTATTTATTTTTTATTTCTGCTATCTGGTGTTGATCACTTTGTTCTTCTCGAAGAGTGAATCTTATATTTTGAATTGTTCATCCTTATTTCGTGTCCTTGGAGGTGTTCCACAATAGAAGTGGAATATTTAAGCAGCCCGGACAGCATTATATCAGCTTAAAAAAAGCACAGGAAAAACTGAAAATATTATTTCAAACATTTACATATGTCTAGTTTGTTTTAGGCAAGTGTATTACATATTACATCTAACCACTAGAAAGACTGCCTCAGCGGTCATCCAGGATTTGCTGCAGTGGCCCTAAATCCTTACGTTCTGCAAACTGTTCATGGCACTGACGTTATATGGAGACTTGCAAGAATACTCACTTAATCAGTCAGGCAGGTTACCTAATCTTACGTTATCATTTTATCATTAAATGTGCTAATCGTAACATTTTATATCAACCTAAGTTTGATTAGGTTCTGTACTTTAGATTCATTAGATTCCGCCCAATGACTGCTGGGATAGGCTCCAGCTCCCCCCACGACCCAGAGGGATAAGCGGCTTGGAAGATGTGTGCGTGAGGATTCGTTAGATTGCTTCCTTTGTTTCTAAACACAGACATTTGACAAAATGCTTAACTTAAGCAAAATGCTCTACAGTAAGACATAACGTGAACTTACCTTAGCCAGAAATGTTAGGTGCTCTTCAGGGACGTCAGCATTCAGGCAAAGGTGTCGCTCAGGCAGATAACACAGTTTCACCTCAATAAAGCTGGCGAAGCTCCCCTCATCAAAGTGTCATGCATGCTGATGGTCTTGGTACGGGGACGTAACTGATCATGCGTTACCACAGTGCTGAATTAGTGCAAATGCTAATGTTACAATATCTACAAACTCAGAACTAACAATTATAACTACCTAGAACAAGAGTCAATATATATATATATATATATATATATATATATATATATATATATATATATATATATATGCAAAACTGCGCCAAAATTCTCCCTCGCTCTAGTTTGGAGAAAGTCCTTTTGTCATTTCAAAGTAAAGGGATACAAACTTTTGCACTGAATCATAAAAAAGCTGAAACATACCTGGTACTTATTTTGTGCTTACAAAATAACCTCGCAAATTGTGTAAATATTACTAGTAAGCACTATATATTTACCATAAATTCTGGGGCGGTTGTTGGGGTTGGTTGGTGCTGGAGCCTATCCCTGTGGTCATTGGGTGAAAGGCAGGATACACCCTGGACGGGTCGCCAGAGTACTCACATACTCATTTTCTGGGCCACCCTTCAAAACATTGCATTACATTTTAGAATTAACCTTACTTTAAGTATACTATGTTAATTTGTTTATTTTATGTAGCTTGTTTTTAAATCAAAATATTCCCATTTTTGATTTGTAAACCATATGTAATGTCCTGTCGTGCCTTGTCCTGTCTTTCTCTGTTTTAGCCTTGGTTTCCTTGTTTTCCTCTGTCAGGTGCTTTTTTGTTTACATCTGACATGTGCCTTTGTAATCTGGTACATGTGTTTTTTGTTTTTCCTGCCTTCCGCCCAATGACCACTGGGATAGGCTCTAGCTCCCCCCCATGACTCAGAAGGATAAGTGTCTTAGAAAATGTGTGTATGTGTGTGTTTTTATTGTTGTGTTAGCTCCTGCCCTGTTCTGCCATGTGTTCAGCCCACACCTGTTTCTTTTTTTACCTGTGCCCCTTTCATTGTTCTCAGCTGTCTCTCATCTTAATTGTTTGTAAATCTGTACCCCTTGTTTCAGTCTTGTCTTTGCTTGACATTGAATGTGCATTTTTTCATTCTGTATTGTTCATAGATCAGTTGTAGCTTTGCTTTTATGTTGTTTTAGTTTTGCCTCGTTTCGTTTTTTGTTTGTTTCCTCGTGTTCTTGTTTTTCACTGCTTATTGCTTCTGTTTCTGCCATGGACTTCCATAAAACCAACTTGCACTTGCATCCACCCTCATCTCCTGTTCTCCCAATATAGAATGCCAAGCCAAACAAGGATGCAGCGAGTGTTCTTCTCTCCCAAGAGAGAGAGTTTAAATATCTTGAATTACTTTCCACTCTCCAGTCAGGGAAATCTCTTCTCCTTCCTTCTTTGATGGAACCCCTAGTGAGTATGATGGTGAAGATGGCACTTGTGAAGGATTTATTATGCAGTGCAGATTTACCTTCAATATTTACAATGTCCCACCCCTCCATACACTTTTAAAGTTTTGTTTTAAGGCAAGGCTCTAGAGTGGGCAAATATTGTGCTTGGAAAAAAGAGCCAGAGAAGCAAGTACTGTAGAGGGATTTTTAACCCTTGTGTGGTGTTCATGTTAGCTAGCTAACTTGAAACATTCTCACAATGGTGGATCACTTTTTTCCAGGATACATCACCTTAGTAACTTATGCTGCACTACCTAACCTGCTCCAGGGCAGGAATATGGATCATAAACAGCTCTTGGACCAATCTGGGTTGAGTATCTGACTGATCATGGCCAATCATTCCTTTCAGCAAAGGAACAAGACATCATCCCTAAATATGAAAAATATAAATAAAGTATTGTAATGGCAAAAGCACCATAATCTACATTGTGAATGTAGTGCTTTCTGTCATTATAATTGCTGCTTTACTTTCTACACATTTCTGTAGAATGATTTCTTGTTCTTGAATTTTCTCTATTCCAGCATCTGATCCAACAATGCCAAATTCAGGAATGTATGCTCTGCTGAGCATGTCTGCTAGGTTGTAGGCTGACCTGTTTGCATAGGTATTGCTCTGAGCCCACTTACCCTTTTTTCAGTATATGCATGGATCTTTTAGTAGTTTTAATTGTATTTATTTTCTTCACGGTGATTTCCAAATTGTGTGTCTTACAGGGAATTTCTTCTTTCTGTCTGTTTTTCCTCTGTTTGAAAGGTAGTCTGAGTCAATTTATGTATTAGCACTTCCGTTGTCACTTCCACAATTCAGTTAGCCAGTTTGCAGAGTATATCATTTAAACAGCAGGTCATAGTAAATCAGGCACAAACTAGAGTGATCTTTTAGCATATACTGCAGGTTTTGCGCACTCCTCTGTAAATCTGGCCAAATATCTGCCAAAAGTGCTCAAGTAGCTTGACTCTTCAGTCTATTTCAAATGCCAGAGTGTTCTTCATCTCTGAAACAGAATAAAATACCAACTTTGGCTAGGTCTAGTAGTACACTGTTGTAATAACTTGGATAGTTTGTATCCTTAGCACTTTTAGTGGTCTTGGGTTAATGCATATTCTTAATTTTCCTGATTTATTTGTTTACAGTAAGTTTGTAATTGATCCCCTCTGTGCTCACGTTTCTTTATGTGCAATGATTCCTCTCTCTTGTAGGTTTCTCAGCTCATCATTCAGAGGGTTCATGAGGGCAAAAGGAACTTGTTGCTTTCTGACTAGAATTTGCAGCTGACGACAGTTAAGGTACAGGTACATTCCATTTTGGATTGCGGTACTCATCAGAAGCCCTCATTAGCATACTGACAGTGTGCTCTTCCCCAGCAGTATTGTGATACTCAGTGACATTAAGTTCTCTTTCAAACTCCATTATTAAATATTTGAAATCTTTACCTTTGCTTTCTCATCCACTATATAAGCACAATGTCCATGTACAAGGTAAACCTGTCTTTCCATTACCTGTGGTTTCGAAGCAGCATCCATACTTGTCAAAATCTCACAGAATCCCTCTCAGTACTGGTTTATTAGTCTTCAGTTACTTCACTATACTCAGTAATCATTGTTGTCATTACCACTTTCACCATGTCCTACACTATGATACACATTCTGTAACATCTCATCTTCTCTGAATACTTATTTGCTGTTGGCTATTATTGGCCATTCAAATTCAGCATTACACTGCAAAAATGTTATCTTGGAAAGGTAATTTGTCTTAAATCTAGTATTTTTTTATTCATTTATTCATACAACAGCTAAGATACCCTTTTTTGTAATGTACATCATTTTTACACAATAGTGTTACTATCTTTTTGGACACCCATTTAGTTCCAGTAAAATAACATGTTCATTTTCACTTTCTTACACCATCCTTGAAAGACATTAAAATATTTTTGCCTCAGGCAGTCAGTAGTTAGTATATTAGATATCTTTGCATGTTCACATGGAATATGAAAAAGTAATATATTTTGAGCACTCTGCTAGCTAGCTGGCACTAGCTATCCTACTCAGAAACCACTGAGCAATTGTATAAGCTGAAGAAATCAATTTTTACATAGGTCAGTTTTTCTTTTGATATTGTTTCAGAACTTATAGGATCACAATATCAGACGTGATGATCCCAAAGGAAACCTGGTTCAAGAAGAGACATGCTCAAGCTCAAACTGAGTTAAGTTACAATCTTATTATAAATCACATCCTTTTGTTTTTGTAAAGTGCACACAATGTTATTATTTCTTAAAAAGCAAGTCATCACAAATTTGTGATGTTGATATTCGTTTCCTTATTTAGTGTTTAGACGATTCACCAGTTCAGTTTTTTCAATGCTATAGACCCCACCAGAACTCTCGAACACTCTTCTGAATTCCAGTTAGATGCTTCTTATCACTGTTTTAACTCTAGAACCCTAAATTTTTGAGTAATTTTTTTGGCATTTTGGGTCAATTACAATTACAATTGCAATTATAAAGTATTTACATGAGACAGTCACACATGCCATATGCTGTTATTTTCAGGAGACCCTGGGCTACTCAGATATGCCATTGTTTGACGTCTAAATGTCAACAGAAATTTCTTATCTTTATGATTTAGGCAAATTTTTTAGCAAAAATATATCTAGCGCCTGGTAATTTTTTGCTTAT